CCGAGGTTAATAAGGGTCGTATTGTTTCCGTACGTGATTAAAGTAACCTCAACCACACACATTGTTCCTCTCTCTCTCTCTCTCTCTCTCTGTCTGTCTGTCTGTATTATAACTTGACTCATTCTAACTTAACCTAACTTAAGTCACTTTAGTGTAACTGTGTTTAAACTAACCAAACTTAACCTAATCTAATCCTATCTAATCAATCCTAACCGTTATTTAATCTAACCTAACCTGACCTGACCTAACCTAACCTAACCTAACCTGACCTGACCTAACCTAACCTAACCTAACCTAACCTAACCTAACGTGACCAAGAACAAATTTGCGAGAGATTGAGAGAGAGAGGGAGAGTGGAAAGGGGTAGAAAATCGGAGGAAGAGAGCCAGAGAGAGAGAGAGAGAGAGAGAGAAGGGGGTGAATAGAAGCTAAAGAAAGAGAGAGCAAGTGGGAAGGAGAGAGGTAGAGTGAGGCAGAGGAAGAGGGTCAACAAAGAAAGCGAAAAGGAGAGAGAGAGAGAGAGAGAGAGAGAGAGAGACCTACAGCAGTTAAAGTCTCCCTGTGTGCGTGCGTGCGTGTGTGTGTGTGTGTGTGTGTGTCTGTGTGTGTGCGTGCGTGTGTGTGCGTGTGTGTGTGTCTACATATGGTACGCTTCTGGCTATTATAGTTCCCCTGGTTGGCTGTCGACAGTAAAACACGGAACACGCTTCTCCGTCACCCCGACACACAAACACTCGACTTTAGGCAAAACCCGACTCCTCCCGACTTTTTTTTTATGTTGTGTAGCATCCGACTTTAAGCTCCCGACTTCTGAAATTTGCCGAAAAACATCCGATTTTTTACGTGCAAAATCCGACGACAGAAACCCGACTCATTGATTTCAGACATCCGACTTCGTATACGACCAATATCTAACAACCGACACACGACTTCCGACACCCGACTTACGATTCCCAACGACCCTCCAGCATCATATACCCGACTTACAATCCCAAACACCCGACTTCCAATCCACAAAACCCGACTCCCTCACTCTCTCCTCACACATGTGAACTAAAACACCTGTAATACGTCAAGATACCTGTAGGTACACCTGCCCTCACTCCACAGGTGTTTTTTGTACACATTCTGTCTTTTACTCCTTTTATCTTTCTTTAATTCAATTTTCTTTCTTTTTCTAATGTCTCTGCTTTTTATATCTCATTTTTCCTTACATTATTTCATTATTTAGGTCATCCTTCCATCCTTCTTATGTCCATCTTTATTCTCCTTTTTTTCTCATTCTATTATCTTTTTTTCCCTTCTTCCTTTCCTTCTCCTCCTATATCCCCCCTACACCCGTTTTAGTCTCCTTCCCTCTGCATTAGCTATTTCTCCTTTCTCTTCCATCTCTCCTTTCTTTCATCTCCCCTCCCTCTTCCATCTTTTTCTTTCGCAATAACCTAAGATAAATAGGCCCACTATAAGCCACAAGATAATCATCGATAATTGGCGATTATTCCACCATATTAACTATAACACCGAACTTAGATTCCCAAAGGATGTTACGTTAATTTTTCTTCGTAACTGGAAATGTAAATGAACGTAATCTAACTGACCTTAACTAAATACCTTCACTTAGAACAAGGTAAGGGATAAATTGAACGTATGGAATCTCTCTTAATACGGACTGTACGTTCCAATCCTCCCTTTTTCTCCTCCACATTGAACGTACGAAAAGAACTTGACTATATTAGGTTAAAAAAGTGTTAGGGAATCGAGCAAGAATTTCCCGCCAGTTTAAGTCAGGGTTGAGAACGTCCATAAATTCATTACAGAGACCGTTAGGGAATTTCCTCAGGTTGTAAAAGATGACGATAATATTCCCCTAAACCCAGAGCCGGGCGTGAGTTGTTGAGCCTCCACCACTACCACCACAAGAACAACAAGACAACAAGAACAACAAGTACCGTGTGGGCTCTCTCTCTCTCTCCCTTCTCTCTCTCTCTCTCACTCTCTCTCTCTCTCTCTCTCTCTCTCTCTCTCCTTTTCGCTTTCTTTGTTGACCCTCTTCCTCTGCCTCACTCTACCTCTCTCCTTCCCACTTGCTCTCTCTTTCTTTAGCTTCTATTCACCCCCTTCTCTCTCTCTCTCTCTCTCTCTCTGGCTCTCTTCCTCCGATTTTCTACCCCTTTCCACTCCCCCTCCCCCCTCTCTCTCTCAATCTCTCGCCTCCTTCCCTCTCCCTCTCTCTCCCCCTCCCCCTCCGGCTTTCTCTCCCACTATTTACATTATTTACAACTGCTGGTAATTTCCTCTCACTTCACCTCTCACTTCCCACTTTTCCTGCTACTCTCTCTCTCTCTCTCTCTCTCTCTCTCTCTCTCTCTCTCTCTCTTCACTCACTAAACATTACAAGAACAATGATTATATACTTTTTAATTAATATCTATCTTATTTATTATCGACAGAAATACATATAATTAACAAGTAAATATATTTTTTTACACATTATGACTTGTAAGCAAACACAACTCATTATTGCAGGAATAAACTTTGAAAGTATAAAAAGTAAAAACAAAATCATTGAACTTATGGCGAGTACAAGAAAGTCTTAGGCTCGTACTGGTGAAGTAAATATTATTACGTCAGTAGTTCGCAAGAAGAAAAGTTTTTGAGTTCGTGGGAGTGAAAGTAATTTTTTTTTTATTCTCTAAATTTTCTAAAACTGCCTAACCTATTTTAAAGACTTAATAAGTAGAGTAACCAGAATAAGAAAAAAGAATGATGGATAGAGAGAGAGAGAGAGAGAGAGAGAGAGAGAGAGAGACCTATACACAGTCGTGATTATATTGACGAAGATAACAGAAGGCGCGGTAGCAATGTCACACACACACACACACTACATACTCGGTTGGTCAGACGATACAGGAGTGCATGGGACTCTTATCCGTGTGTCCCCGTGGTTTAAGGGCGCCAATCAAACGTCAAGAGAGAGTGTCGTTCATTGGTGGCGGGACTGAGGGGTGCTAGCCAATGAGGAGTGGCGTTCCCCTTACGCAAACTGTTTATAATCGACAATGTGGAGGAGGAGAAGGAGGAGGAGAAAGAGGAGAGGCATGATGATGGGAAGGGGGGGGGAGTTGGTGTGAGGGACATGTGGAATCTCCAGGGAGGGATTTAAATGGGGGATGAGGGTGTTCCAGTAGGGAGGAAAAGGGATTTAATGGGATTTTCTTTTTTAGAGATTTTTCTATGGATCGAATTAATCTTATGGGGATTACAGAGATTAAATAAAACTTCCAGGACGGGATTTCAGGGATTTAAACGAATCTGATTGGATGTGAATTTACTCAAAGGACACCTCAAGGAAAAAAAAAACTTTCTTTAGTAGTTCCAAAGAAAACATATTTTAAACGCTAGCATTAAAACAAACAAAAAACAAAAACAAAACACGTTTAACTTTGGTAATCCTGGTTTAACATCAATCATTGTCAAAGCCGATGATGAGAATGATATTGATGATAAATGGGTCTTAGCTTTGGCAAAAAATTCTTCATCGAACGAACAAATGATTTTTTTTACCTAACCTTCCTTCCCCCCAACATAAAAAGAAGTAATGGAGGTTATATATGGAAAATAACTCACTGTGTAAATTGACTCCCCATAGTGTTAGACAAGACGAGTATCACTGGACAGGCACAGTCATCACATATTTACGGCCTTGAGTGAAGCACATTAATCACACGGTTCGTAACGACTCAGGTGTTTAACTATGGTAATACCTGTGTGATAATTATTTATATTATTATTATTATTATTCATGAAAATTAAATTCCTTGAAACAAAAACGCATCAGATGTGGTCGAAGAGAGACGCCATGTTTGTTTACATTAAGTTACACACTAGATGGCACCAACTAGCCAAGCTTTCTCTAACTAGTCTAATCTAACTTAACGATCTTGGGTTATATTTAGTCTTAGTTAGGTTTAGTTTGGGTTGTTATGTCTCGTTTGTTAGTTAGTTAGTTAATAAACATACGTCTAATCAGCCTCTCATCCATTATCGCCCCTATCACCTGATGAAAAAGAAACGGAAATAGAATATCACTCGTCTATTACTTAACAAACCCCAAACGACCGTCAAAAAGTCGATCAAAATACAAAAAAAAAATCACACGGGAAAAACCCACCTTCATGACATACAAAAAATAAATAAAATTATAAAAACTCGTATAATTAAAAACCATTCTCATAGTGACGTTATATAATTCGGGCATATAATTTGCTCAGGATAATCGAGGCCTTCTTTTCACCCTCATAAAATATATATAATTATATAAACCATAAATATCTCCTTGTCTTTACCCTTCCCCCCCTCATCTTATTTAGTATTGATAGTAAACTATTTCTATTATGCTCAGTGCTAGTAAAACAAAAAAGACTAATTAATGATTAATTTCATGATGTATATTGCTGTAGTATTATCCTCAACTTTGGTTTAGATAAATGCAATGTTTATTCTCATGCAAGTTTGCTTATTTCTTCTTCCTCTCTCTCCGTGTTTCTTTCTCTCTATCTTTATCTTAATAATCTGCTACTTAATGTCCCTATCTTCGTTGTTGTGTTATTTCTTGTGACTTTTTTTACTATTCTATTTCTGTTATTTATTCTTCGTATCGTGTTCTATCCCTCTGTTTTATCATATATACTCTATATTGCTTTAACTTTTTATAAGCATTTAAAAAAATAGTAATATAATATAATGAATTTTTGTTTTTTTTTTCCTATATTATTAAATATAATTATTTTTTTTCTTTCATCATTTAATAAAACAACAACACATATTCTCGAGCTCCTCATGTTTCCCCTATTTCAATTTTGTTCCTTTAAAAAAAAAATTCAAGTCATCGCTTTAAAATAATAAAAATGAGTTTTCTCTGTTTGACTTGGCTAACTTTGCACACCTGGCCATTACCCCATTTTCTGTAACTGAACTTCTTCCCGTTTTCTTCAACACAGGTGATACAGGATTGGAAATACGTGGCGATGGTGCTGGATCGTCTCTTCCTGTGGGTGTTCACTATCGCCTGTGTGGTGGGCACTTGTGGCATCATCTTTCAGGCTCCCTCGCTCTACGACACTCGCGCACCTATTGACGAAATCTACTCGCAAATTGGGACCGAAGTTTCTACAACCCAAAATACCGGTTAATAAATCACACACGGTGCTTCTCTTGTGTGTGTGTGTGTGTGTAAGTGTGTGTGTGTGAACGTACGTGTGTGTGTACGTGTGTGTGTGTACGTACGTGTGTTTGTACGTGTGTGTGTGTGAACGTACGTGTGTGTGTGTACGTGTGTGTGTGTGTACGTACGTGTGTGTGTACGTGTGTGTGTGTATGTGTGTGTGTGTTTATTCCTATATGTTTGCTTCTTTGCTTATAATAAGTCGTAGTTGCGCCTTCAATGTTCCATTTAAAAAACAAAAACAAAAAGACACACACACACACACACACACATATATATATATATAAATATATATCTAAATATTTATGAATATTATCATCCCTCAGTTTTATTGACCCTTACAGACCAACTCTCAGGACTTGTGAGGGAGAGTTCGGTCTCCAGTGTGAGTTAGTGTAAGTTAAGACTATTTACAAGTACTATGTTAAGGGCTGTTTTATCTCACTTAGAGAAGTTTTAGTAGTGAAGGCTCTAAAGTCATTATAGTGTCATAAGTTTGAGAACTATTAAGTAAAAGCGACGCTCATTATAAAGTTCTGTAGTGTTGTGACATTTCTGTTGCACGCGCGTGTGTGTCTGTGTGAGTGTTTGTTTGACTATGCGTGTGTGTGTGTAAGTATGTATCTTCATGCACACAAGAGAGAGCTATTGACATCTTTGATGGAAGTTTGAAGTATTTAAATCGCTCATGAATTCAAAACTTTGGCTTCAGTCAGTGAGTGTAGTTGACTGGTCAGTTGACAAAGCACCACCACGTGTTACTGACCCGTAGAGGACAGCCGCCTCGTCATGTTCCTGGGTCATGTGATTATAGACGTTACCTAATAATTCACATGTTAGACAATACTTGTTATCGTCTTTACTGGTTGTCAAAGCTGCTCAAGAGGTTCCCGCGTTTTCACTACAGAAAAAAACCCCCGCTAAACCTCTCTCTGATGTCATGAAGTGGTGACTTAAAACTGATGTCAGAATATAAACAAGATCCCTCCCCTATGGTGAAGATAACCTTTCCTTCTCTCCATGTTGTTGATGCATAACATTAATATTAGGGAAGAGTGTATGGGACATTTTATATGCTTAAGATTTGTACATAAACAAAAGATACCAAGACGTAGAGGTAATAATACTATTTGTTGAACTGGTCAGGTGACACCAACCATCCCTCCCTCCTTCCCTCTTACTTGAGATACATAGTCAATGGACTTTTTTAAACCATCAACAAGGTGTAATTCCAAAACCCTTTACAATGTATTCTCATTTAAATCTTCGATGTTACAGGAATCAATATGGAATTTGTACAATTTTTTACAGCTATTTGTCTGTTAGCTTTATAGCTTTAGAGCATAGTAGTTTTCCCCAGACCTCCACACATCTTAGTTGGTCTGCGGCTCATACTCCTCACGGTCTAAGAGGTGTTAAGGTCTGGTAGTGAGACCCAGGGATGTACTGGAGTGTATGACTGATTGGTTCACACCTGACAGCACTAGCACGCCCGCAATAGATGTTTTCTTTTGGCCATTAAATATTAAAACAACAACAACGAGATGACAGTTTTAAAAGACGGACAGGATATTATTTCTTAATTTGTCAGAGATTATTATCCGGTTTAGATATTAAGACTTGGTGAACGATACTTAAAGAATCTGGGAGTTGAAGCATTACACAACAGTAACAACAACTGCGTCAAACTGCTGCACTCTGGCTGTGGGTCCTGTGCTCACCGCGTCTTAGCATTATCATCCACCATACTCCGCTAACGAGACTTTTCATGGAGTCGAGTGTACAGAAGGGTCAATGTTCAGGCAATTAGATGGGCGTTATCACCCGTGTCAACTATCCAACTCGTTATCCGGAACACTGTCGCGTATAGGAGGACTTACTTCATTCCTTAGTCTTGGAGGCACACAGTGGCATTTTGATTTCTCCGTTAAATGGGGACCGGAGGTTGAACCAATATGCCACTACCAGGTGCTGTCTACGGTGCAACTAATTACTGTATACAAATGGACACTGGATAAGAGACGAACGAAGATAAACAGATGTATATTTACTGTCAGTTATCCTTAAGTCTCTTTCGTTTGTCCATTATTTTCATGTTATTAAAGTGTCGAGTCACAGGTGTAGTGTCTCACCTGTGCTAACACTTGACCCTCACTCAGGCACAGGTGTAGTGTCTCACCTGTGCTAACACTTGACCCTCACTCAGGCACAGGTGTAGTGTCTCACCTGTGCTAACACTTGACCCTCACTCAGGCACAGGTGTAGTATCTCACCTGTGCTAACACTTGACCCTCACTCAGGCACAGGTGTAGTGTCTCACCTGTGCTAACACTTGACCCTCACTCAGTATTACTTAAAAAGATTTTCCTCGCAGTTGACTTCATTATGAGACTTAAGTTAATTACTTTTTGGTAGTTTTTATGCTTAATGGACAACTTCAGGAAGATGAATTTTGTAAGTTACTCTAAGGTCTGGCACTGATACGTGTTCTTATCCCACAAATATGCTGCAGCGAGCGGCCTATTCCGAAGAAGTTATCATTTAAATACAAACTGACCACAAAGTAGAGGTGACGCCAAGCAGCAAGAGGTTGACAGAGGTGCTGTACAAGGTTGACCACAGTTTTTTGGTTCCATTTGGTATTTTTGTATTTCACCAAAAATATCAGCGAATAAACACAATGACTGGAGTTGACCTTTAAAGTAATTGTATTTTCTCACCTGTATTTAACAAGTGTTGTATAGTATTTCTTCCCTAATTCCCTTGATTGTTGGTCCTATTTTGGTGAATTAATAGTTGTTATATATATATATATAGGTCATTATATAGCTTACCTGACCCATGAACGAACCCAGCGTTATAAGATTGTGTGACGTGAGTACCCAGGGAGGTGTTGGCTGGAGCCCGTCACTTGCCGCCGCCTCCTGACCAGTGTATCGCAGTCGTGGGCAAAAGTAAACATACTAACTCCATACACAGAGTACTGTATACTTCTTGATATGAACGAGTTGTTGTCTAGTGTAGAAACTGATAGTGAACAGTGCTTAAAGATCTTAACTATTGCAGCACCTGACTACTTTAACAACAACAACCTCTCATCTGGAAGTTGTAAACATCATTTGCCTTTTTAATTTAATAATGAACTGTGGCGACGTGAGGCTTCATTCTGTAATTTGCTCAATTTATATCAAACAATGCCTTTATTTTCACTCGCATTACCTGAAAATAAAGTGAAAACTCAGGTTAGTTCCTGAAATGTCTGTCGAGGACTTACTAATATCGGAAAATATATGGATGGTGACAAGGCTAACCAATCACTATCACCACACATCTGTTCTAAGAGTCTGATTGTGTTAGAGCAGTGAAGGTAATCAGTGTTAACGATAAGACTAAACCAACCACTGGCAGTTATGTAAAATAACCCTCAGAAAACGCTAAAACACCAATACACGATAATGAACACAACGCAACACACAGCACAACACTTCAGATCTGTTCCATTCTGCCGCTCGAAAAAGCATCAACCCAGACTCCTAAAAACCCACCAACACGCAGAGAACACTACCATGCGTAACACCAAGCTAATATTCTTGTTTCCTCTTGATCACTAAAGTTTTATAAGTGTTTTGCCACAACATGGAGAACACACTTGTGATATTGAGAAATGATTTATGATTTCTATAACGTTCGTGCCAAGTTGTTGATATTTTGAGTCATCTTGAAATTGATTATCAAATACAAACGTAACTGCAATGAGGACACATACATTGAGAGTTTAATGCAAATGAATAATGTTTGAAAAAATAGCTTTATAGTCACAACCTCTCCCTGTTACATGAAATGGTGATTAACTAATATCATCTGCTTCAAACTGTACAATAAGAAACATCCTTCACACGAGAAAAACTTATCAGTCAAGGCAGGACAGACAGACATTGGGTTGATTAGACAGAGAGGGATATTAGTGTGCGTATACCTGGTCGCTATAAAACTGTCACATCTCAAGTAAAATATAAAAACAGTAAGCTATGTAAAACAGATAACGTATTTATTCTGTGTAACCTTACCGTCAATATAACCCCTCACGACCCCTTAAAGTTGTAAATATTAATAAACCTTTTCAATATAATGCTCCAACTATTATAATGCTCGTGGTCATCATTGGTTTTATAACATGAATCTCTAACCAAAAATTTGAGAGAAATTGGGCTAAAGGTCAAAGGGATTAAGGGATAACTCGTGTATCGTGGGCCGCGCAGTGTTGACTTGCTGGCGATGAGGTCGAGGGTAAAACGCGGTGTTGTGAAGTGCTTAGGTGGCAAGATCCTATTAGTCTTTTCTTACCATTGTAGATGTTTTCCCTTTCTTTTTCGTTTTTCCTCTTTTTTTCTCTCTACTTCCTTTATTCTCTCTTGTCTGTGTGCCTGTTTCCATCTGCCTGTAGGTCTCTCTCTCTCCCTGTCTCCCAAACTTTATATATTAGATTAAGTGAACGATAAGTATCTTGGTGATTTATACTGTTTGTGCATATAAACACACACATATATAAATATATATATATACATATATCTATTTTTGGGGAAGTATTTCCTTTGAAATAACAGAGATTTCCCAAGAATTGCCGACAATTGCTTAATAGCTGTAGTTGTTCAGTAGACTAGTTCAAGAAATGGGTTGGTTGGATCAACCCCGACACACATGCTGTTGTTCTCTGATTTTTACATTGTGTTCCCAGAATTTCAGACTTCGAGGCTGACGCGGGGAGCAGCGGGTCACTTTTTTCAGAGGTTGTTTATGTCCGCACTCACCGGCTGTCGCCCCGATCTCTGAATTTCAGGAACTGTTAACACAAAGCGCACTCAACGAAGATTAGCATTTTTTTTCTAATCAAGTTTATTCTTATGTGATTAGAGAGATCCATCAGCAGTGGTGATTCTTTATAAGGAAGTCTTTTGTTTATGACTAAGGCTTAACGGAGACGTGATTTGTAAACCTTTTGAAAGAAGAGAAATTGTGATTTATTTCAGTGATGTATTGATACGAGATAGACTAAAACCACCACACCTTTTTACCCTTTCAATGGAGTTTGTTCCTTAATATGTAATCAAATATGTATACCTTAGAAAAAAGAAAAAACATCTTCAACATAAAGAAGTTTCACTGCTCACACACGTCTAAAAAAAAAATTATGTTAACTAAAAAAATAATAATAATTTACCATGTTGAATCAAAATCTGTGCCAAGAACGAGTAGAAACAAGAAGAGTCTTCCTCCAGTACCCGAATGTTTTGCTCACTCTTACGGTTTCAGCACTACATAAAATATTTAGAAGAAGAAAACAAAAAAAATATGTGAAGCACTTTGAGATATTTTTACCGCCCTTAGTTCAGTACCAACAACATCCGGGGTCTTGATACAATAAGTGAAAGAGACAAGGGACACCTGGTGGAGAGATACTAGTGACTATGATGTAGTAGTACAGTATTATATGAATAGGTAATCAATAAAATATATCATTCTTCAATAGTATCCCCCTTGAACCTGCCCTTATGATAAAAAATGGGAAATTGTTTTACTCTACGTGGAATTTTGAGATAACTTTAGTCAAATGAGCATCTTTGGGTACGATAAAAATATGACACTTAATTGATTAGTTACAACACTTAGAAACTCAAATACGTCTCTTAGATGTTCAGATATGATGCTTGATGTTTATATCCGACTTCTAATTCACATATATGATCCTTAATGCTCAGATCTGGCCCTCAAGTACCAATAAGTGACACTCGAAGCTCCACACAAAACATAATGGCTTTCGTCAGCTCCTCAATGTTGATATATCCAATTTACGATTCAAAAAAAAAAAAATTAACAATGGGGTAATAATAATCAATGGCTGTCTTATGCCAAACTTTAATAATAGTAATAATAAAAATAATGATAATAATAAAACACATCCCTCACTCATTAATGAAAACAACATCCATACGTGAGGTCAGGAAAGGTGGAAATTCATGTAACAAAAAAAATCAATATATATAAAGGAGAAACATTCATGTATCTCTCTCCGTCTATCTCTCTCCTCCATCAGCTGTCTCTCGTCTCTCTACTTCACCAGGGTGTTGTGTCAAGTACTTCCCTCTCAATAAAAACAAACAAAAAAATAAACACATCCTTCTTTGTCAATAAAAACCCCTAAACATTCACCATTGCCTATTTTTGTCCTTCCTTGGTGAAATAAACCATATTTTTGTCCTAATGTTTTCTGTCTCTTCTCTTCTCCTTCTCCCGTTTTCTTTCTTTATCCCTCTCCTCCTATCTCGTTTTCTTCTACCACCTCCTTCTCCTTCATCCTTCTCCTTCTCGCTAATCTTCTCCTTTATTATTTTCTTCCTCCTCCTCTCTTTTCCCTCTTTTACCTCCTTCTCCCCCTCCCTTTTCCCTATTTTACTTCTTCCTCCTCTCTCCTCTTCCTTCATTTCTCCTCCTGCTTTCCTACCCCCTCCCCCTCCTCCCTTTTCCCTCTTTTACCTCTTCCTCCTCTCTCCTCTTCCTTCATTTCTCCTCCTGCTTTCCTACCTCCTCTTCCTCCCTTTTCCCTCTTCCTCCTGTTCCATCGCTTCTCCTCCTACTCTCCTCCTCCTCCTCCCTTTTCCCTCTTCCTCCTGTTCCATCATTTCTCCTCCTGCTCTTCCACCTCTTCCTCCTTCTTTCTCTCTCCTCTTCCATCATTTCTCCCCCTTCCTTTTCCCTCTTTCCCCCCCTCCCTCCCTCCTCCTCCTTTCTTTCCCCCTCTTCTCCCTCCTTCGTGGCATTGCTCACCCCGCCATGGAGAAAACTTTATTCAGTGTTATTGATGTGTGTGTAATATTTCTCTTGACGCTGCAATAAATGATCGTCTGTCCGTAGATGGTTCTTTGTATTGCATTAATTAAACCTGCTCTTTTGATGGTAGTTTATTGTTTTAATATGTTTTATGTTGTTTTACTTGGTTTATTATTGTTTTAATATTTTTGTTGTTGTTTTACTTGGTTTATTATTGTTTTAATATGGTTTTTGTTGTTTTATTTGGTTTATCATTGTTTTAATGTGGTTTCTTTGTTGTTTTGTTTGGTTTATTATTGTTTTAATGTGTTTTTGTTGTTTTACTTGGTTTATTATTTTTTAATGTGGTCTTTTGTTGTTTTATTTGGTTTAATATTGCTTTAATGTGGTTTTTGTTGTTTTACTTGGTTTAATATTGTTTTAATGTGGTTTATTTATTCTTTTACTGTGGGTTTGTTATTGTCTTACCGTGGTTTTTATTGTTTACTTGTTTTTTGTTGTTTTATTTATTATTGTTTTACTTGGTTTAATTGTTATGGATGCTGTTCGTTTATTGTTTTGCTGTTTTATATATTGTTTTCCTTGGTTTATACTTTTTGTTTTGTTTTAATTGTTTTTTGTTACAGATGCTGTGGTTATTGTTATGAAAGCTGTAGTTTTTTTAACGGTTTTAAGTTGTTAGGTTTTTAAGTTGCTGGGTATTTAAGTTGCTGGGTTTTAAGTTGCTGAGGTTTAAGTTGCTGAGGTTTAAGTTGCTAGGTTTAAGTTGCTAGGTTTTAAGTTGTTAGGTTTGAAGTTGCTGGGTTTTAAGTTGCTGAGGTTTAAGTTGTTAAGTTTTAAGTTGCTAGGTTTTAAGTTGCTAGGTTTTAAGTTGCTAGGTTTTAAGTTGTTTGGTTTGAAATTGCTGGGTTTTAAGTTGCTAGGTTTTTAAGTTGCTGGGTATTTGAGTCGCTAGATTTTAAGTCGCTGGGTTTTGAGTCGCTGAGGTTTAAGTCGCTGGGTTTTAAGTTGCTGGGTTTTAAGTTGCTGGGTTTTAAGTCGCTGAGGATTTAACCTATTCATATCTACTTACATTGACGGGATCAGGTGTATAAGAGCCACCAATATCCTCTAAATATCCCTGACTAACTCATTAATTTACTAAGGTATATACCGGTACAGGTAGGTATGTATATACACTCAACATGACGACCTAACTTCCTGCTATGACTTCGGAGGGTCAAGAGGTCAAGTTCAGCCTATGATATGTAAGTATGTGTATATATGTTTTGTCACCCAAAAAAAGTCCTGTCGCGAACCATGAACCCCGAGATTCAGACTCGTGAACCCGAAGCAGTAGATACTGATACATTATTCTGTCCATAAATGCTTCGGATTCAAGAGTCTGAATCTCGGGGTTCATGGTTCGCGACAGGACTTTTTTAGGTGACTACGTGTGAGTGTATGAATATGAGACAATCAAAATAGTGGTAATACACTCACAATTATGAAGGATAAACAAATAAGCAAACAGGTTATCACAAACGATGCAATTTGAGTTGAAGTGTTGTAGCAGATCAACGTGGATGACTCAATTGCAACATATGATTCACGACCACGACCACTACTTCTACCCCTTTACAAACACCACCCCCAACACGACCCCATGGCACCAATACCAAAGCTAACCAGTTCTCCCCCACCCCCCACCACCATCACTACCCGTCCCCCAACACCACCACCGCCAACAATACTCCCCCACCCCAACCCCAACAACCACCTACACGACCCCTACCCATCGCCACCACCTTCACCAACATGACCACTCCCTCTCCAGCCCGACCACCACCGACACTTCCCTTTCCCCCACCAACACTACTGCTCCCCCACCACCTCCAACATTACCCCCTTCCCTCCCACCACCACCGGATTCCCATTCTATACCTTAAAACACACACCGCTAATGGTCCCATCTGAAACGGTAACAAGTGATTAAGCTGCACCATTACGCTGTACCATTACGCTGCACCATTACGCTGTACCATTACGCTGCACCATTACACTGTACCATTACGCTGCACCTTTACCGAATATATTTCAACCACAGACAAAGGGAATAAAACATGCGTACTGTTTTTTATATATATAATTAAACTGAATGACTGACAGCAACTACAAACGCAATTTATGCCGATGTTTTTATTAATTTATACCACGAGTGTTCAGTCAACGGACCGTACGGGCTGGGGGTGCCTACGCTACCCTCCTCTATGACGTCACTAGTGGGCGTGGCCTCGAAACAAGCGGCACTACGTTGGTGTTATGTAAAGTATAAATATATTACAATAAAACGAACAAAATAAAACAGAGAGATATGCATGAATAAAATGATTTGGCGTACAACCTGATGCATGTTATTTGTATGCTAATGAGGTTGAAGGTTTCTTAGTATTAAATTTGCTTTCAGTGAGAAGAGAAAGCATAAGCTGCGTCCCTTAGCACACTTCTGTACTGAGAGAGGTTGACAGTCGCCTTTTTAACACTATTTACTTCGAAACGTCAGAAATAAAGCGTAATCTTGAAGTCGTGTTTTCTTCACTATCTCACTACCAATAGTTATACTACAACATTATTCTCTCACAGATTCGGGGTTCAGCTGTTGTAGTTTAATTCCTAACCTAACCTAACCTAAAAAAAATCAAATCAACCAGACAGAGAACATTCAACCTGCTATCTGTTAAGAGGAATTGACACCAACCACTGAACAACCTCGTTTATACTGCCGACCCAAATTATCTTTTTCCCAAATGCCGTAAAAGAAAAAAAAAATACGAAAAAATTTAACTAACGTGAACATATTTTAAACGTGGGTGGAAATAAATTACCTCAACGGTAATACAATACATACGATCTCCATAAATAACTTAAGGTAATGCTTTTAACAAATTCGTTCTTACAAATGACGTCTCGGTTAGCGTTTCAAAAGAGTCGGTGTGAGGATACTTGTCTCTAGAACCGCGTCTGTCTCCCGTCTAAGGTTCGGTCAGGTGTTGTTTATACTTTAATACGCTCGGGGTATGAAGTTCTGCACAATGGCGGCTCCTCCACTGATCCCTATGAATAAATTTGGTTGACATATACTGTAGGCTATACACGGCTGAGCTCCCGTCTGTCTAACACGCTCACTATACTGACGGTACCGGAGGCTGAACCATGAACCAAGACGCAGAGAATAAACAGAACATGAGTGTTGTCTCTAATATAATGATAAAGAAAACGGAGGGACACCAAGGATTCAAATCACTTCCTAAACGAAGCTCCGAATCAGGAGTCATAGAGCTGTGAATCCAGTTTGTTGGCATCCTTATTTAGGTGAACCAATAATTATATATATTTTTTTTAGTGAACACAACTCAATGTGTTATTGTCTTGTTAGTGATAAAAAGTTGTAACATTTATTTCCTGATGCAAATGATCGTCTTTATCAATGATGTTTTAAATGGCGGTGCATCAGTTTATTGTGAGTGAGTGACTGAGCGCCTAGAAGCTGTTAACCTCCATCCAATGTTGACAATAAGAAAAAAAACTGTCCTGGGTCACGTGAGCTAAGACGCTCCTCACTCATATGCTGTGTGGCCAGAGACTCTCTCTCTAGTAAACCGTGGTGTAGGCAGGCCGCGTCCACACCGACTCTAGCCTCGACACTTGCCCAGTACAGACGTGCCTTGCTCAGTCTTCTACAATACCATTGTGGTACCTGGTAATTAGTGGCACGTTAACTTAGGCCTAGGAAGGGATCCTGGTGTTAAGGAATCTCCTATTTGGTAGGAAATAACCAGTTGATTGTGATTGCTGTGTATATATTGTAATGTCTGTGTTTAATATAGTTAATGTAAAGTAGTATTCATGTGATTTAACTCCTTAACTGTATATTTTCACCCTTCCGGCATCACTCTTACTTTAATATACAATCACTTATTCCCTTAAATTCCATGGTTGCTAGACAGTACTCCTTTAAGAACATAAATTGAATTATTTAATTATCTTCCCAGTTGTGACTCACTTACTCCAACTTATTCTTATTTATTCAAGTACATTCAGTTGAGTCCGTTTTTGTGGGGATAATTGTTCTGTTTGTTCAATAACATCAGTTCCTCCAGGTATAAGATGTGGGATCGACAATTATATATATATATATATGTATATATATATATATATATATATATATATATATATATATATATATATATATATATATATATATATATATATATATGTAAATCAGTGGATAAGAATCTTGATAAAATCACACGGGAAAATGGAACAACGGGAGTTAGCCTTACTCTTTGTTCAAGACATCTTCAGAAGAATGTCTTGAATAAGACAAGCAAATACCCGTTAT